ATTCAATTCTCTATCCAACGTTGCCAAAACAAATTCTCTCCGAAAACTAAAAAAAAAAACCACGCAAATCTAAAACTTCTTGAATTCAAGCATTTTTTGAGAAAACTGCCAACATTTCCTTATCGATGGTTCACTTGCTAAAACGGCCATTTAGTTCTCTTTGGAATGATGTAAAGCTGGATCCGCCCCTGGGTACAACCCCGTATAACATGGTGGAAGACTTGGGCAAAATCACCTAAATCTCATTTGAAATTACGAAAGTTTTCGCACAACAGCCCAATAAACGTGATAAGGCTTTTAAGTGACGGGATACAAGATAGCAAGGAATTACTAATGGAACATGAATTTTTGAAAATGATATCTACAATAAATGATGACTGAGCCGAGTTTTCTAGCTTCAGGCCGTCATGGAAAATTTATTTTCCTGACCATTATTTCAAGACATTCTAAAAGCCAGAAAAATGCCCCAGTTTCATCATTGGTAATCGTTCATCTGGTGCAAAAGGCGAATGCGCCGTGAAGTGTTTTTTTAGGTAAATAACGACTTTTTTGTTGCTTTCAGGTGTGACTTTATCCTGCGAACCCGACGGCTTCGTGTGGCTGTTCAATCGATCAGAACAGCCGGTGTTTGTCGACTCGTTGTACCTGAAGGGGGGCTGCGAGGACCCCTATGGTTGGCCCACGCGGGTGCCTCCCGATCACTGTGTTTGTGTGTTCGCTCCCGGTGGGCCCCAATCGTTCGGTTGGGACCAGTTGATGTCGGGAACCTGCCCAAGAGGACCCGCTGGCGATCCTAATTCGATACGGTAAGTTCAGAAGCCTTCTTTCCCGTTTTTCCAATCGTGTTTCATTGCTCTTTCTACCGTGTTTTTGCAATAAGACTTGCGAGTTTTTCGGCCCGAACGCCCGAAAGACTTGCGGGATTTAAGGGGTCATAGTTTAAAGCATTGAAACAATAATCCTTATTTAAATTACTGACTAGCTTTGAACATCATTTAATTGTTGCAGGATCAGTTTTGTGAAAGGTTGGGGTAGCAGGTATTCCAGACGAGAAATCACTTCATGCCCGTGTTGGCTTGAAATCCTGCTGGCACCGTGTAGGTGATTATGAGGAAAATATACATTCGAAGATACCACGGAGAGATACCGAGGATTGGATACTAACCTAAGCGTTCCACTAGTGGAACGTGTGATAAACAAAGACAAAGTTGCGAATAAATACTGTTTAATTATTGTTATTAAGTATATATATGGCCTTGGGGAGGGGGAATGAAGATCGCGGCACTCGCGCGTTAATTACCATTGAACCAATTGTCCAGTCGAGTGCTGCAATCTTCAGTCTTCTTTCTGGTAATCGACAGTTTGTAACAAGCCAGTGCACGACCAGTGCAGTGCACGACCAGTGTAACAAACCAGTGCAAGGCTGAATTATTAAGATTAAGGAAATAGAACGTCAAAGTCCGTCCCCTTCGGTTTTTTTTTGTATTTTTGTACTCGATAATCAGTTTGTTGCATACTCTGTTCCTGTTTGTAAAATGACCAGTCTCGCTTTGAGACCGGATCATTGTTACTCTAGTTGACATTGGTGTAGAAGCTTGAAGGCGAAAATTAATTCTTGTTAGATAGTCCTGACATTACGCCGTACGAAATCCATTTAGAACATGTACTGATGCATATTCATAGAAAGAATACTACTTTAGAGAACCCCCGCCTTATGCTACATCTACCACTTAGTGAGATGTACTTTTAAGGTAATATGAGTCTTTGTATGTGTTTGTTTGGTGCTGTTACAAGAAGACTTTGAGTCTTTTTCATTGAAAAGGGACCATTATTCGATTCCGTTTACTCATACTGAAATTGAACTGCCAGTCTTTGGGTTTTTTTTGCGACTGACCAAAAAAACCCTGCCAAGATGGGCAAACGTGGAGATTTCTTCACAAAATCAATCAAAATCACTTCAATATTTTAAATTTGTATATACTTTCCTGACTGTGTTTCAAATCCAAATCAAATTCAATCCGGGGTTTCAGTCATTTATTGTCTCTATTTATCAATCAAAATACGTTTCGGTGTATTTTTCCACCATCATCAGATTTTTTGGCACGCAAAAATGCATGCCAAGGCTTAAAGCAGCAACAACGCTACACATAAAAACTGATGATGGTGGAAAAATACACC